CGCCGCCTTGGATAAGACAGGTTCCCCAACCCTTGCTGTGTATGCTCCCTCACTTCCCTGATCACCTCCATTCGCCTGGGCATTCGCTGGTCGAGAACCAGCAACACCAACAGCAACAGCAGCAGAAGCAGTACCAGCAAGAGCAAGAGCATACTAATGCAGCCTTCACCACAAAAGATCTCCCAATTCACCGTTGTCGCCCACTCGGTTTCACTATGTGTTTCTCTCCTTCCCTTTTTCCGTCAGCTCCCCTGCGCATCGTTTGTGGATGGGCTGGTGGGGATACGCTTTTTTGGTCGCGGGCGGACGCGGAACCGCAGTCGCCACAGGAGAGGTCCGGGCCACGGGCCTGCCAAATTGGCCACGCGCAAGCCTGAAGCGAAGCGGCCGAGCCCGCACTCAGAAGCAGCCGCCGGTGGGGCCGCAGCTGAAGGGAAGCTGGCTGAGCTGACTGCAGAAGGCCAGGGTAGCAGGTGCAACATGCGAGAGAATGGCTCCAAAACGCCAGAGTGGAATTAAGTCCCGCACGCCAGGAGAGCATGATCGGCTCTGTTCTGCAAACCACGCACCAACCTAGCGGAGCGCCTCCAGCGCCGGGCCGACCCAGTTGGCGGCGCGCTACCAGGAACGAAGAGCTGGAAGCAACGCATTCGAGCTCAGGTACCATGGGCGTGAGTGACCAGGTACGAACTGACCATGTCGCCACAGAGCGCCAAAGGCCAGGGCCACAGCTGTGGCAGGGTACAAGCCAGACGTGCGGTGACAAGGCGCCAGTGGGGATGCGCGGTGTCTGCCGGAAGGCTGCACCACTCCGTAACACATCTCACGAAACCCCGAAGTCGACGCCAGACACGGACAGCTGCGGCGAGCACTGTAGACCAGGGCCCAGGGAGTGCAGACGCAACCTGGGTGCCTGGCCAAGGATGTGCGTCGTGGGCGCCGCACGGAAGGGACCGCGTATTGCGCGGGAAGGAGGGCCGGGCAGGCCGGAACGGACATCACCAGGCCGGCGAGAGAAGAGGCGTCCACCAGGGAGCCCAACGCCAGGGGGCGGTTGGCCACACAGACGATGCGAAGCTGCAGGGTCGTGCGACAGCTGGCCGCCCCGTCCTTATGAAGACCCTCGTGTGGCGTGGGCGGGTGGGAACTGACGTCACCAGCCGGCCGGGGTGAGAGGGGCCCGCAGGGACTGTCCAGCGCCAAGGGGCAGCCGATGGCCGTGCGAACTAATGCGAGTCAGACTGCGGGAACGCACGGCCGACGGCCGCCCCGTCCTTGTGCATGCGGGAACATATGGCTGATGGCCGCCCCGCTCATACGGAGGGAGAGAGAGAGAGAGAGAGAGAGAGAGAGAGAGAGAGAGAGAGAAAAAGAAAGAAAGAGAGAGAAACAGAGAGAGAGAGAGAGAGAGAGAGAGAAAAAAAAAGAGAGGGAGAGAAGCAGAGAACCAGGGAGCGGCTGACGGCCGCACAGGTTAGTATGAGAACTCCACGATCCAGGGGAAAGGCCTGGGGGCGCCCTTTGCCCACAGCAGGTAGACGTCCACTCTCTTGGTATCCCGTGTGCCCTCACGGCCCACCCTGTATCCTGGTGGCCCTGGGGGGCGGCCGACATTCGCGTGCACTGCAGCGCTGGGGAGGGGGTCCGTCTCCCCGCCCATGGCCGTCTGATCGCCAGGGACTGCCAGTGCTCCGGCTGAGTGCGAGTCGGACTGCGGGGACATCCGGCAGATGGCCGCCCCACCCTTGCATGTGCAGGGAAATGCGGCCGATGGCCGTATCGACCGTGGAGAGAGAGAGAGAGAGAGAGAGAGAGAGAGAGAGAGAGCGAAGGAGAGAGTCTGGGAACCAGGGGGCGGCTGACGACCGCGAAGGTTGATCTGAGAATTCCACTACTCTGGGGAAAGGCACGGGTAAACTCCTGGCTCGTATTCGGTAGCCGTTCCTAAGACGGCGGATCCATAGAGAGCCAGGGAGCGGCTGACGGCCGCAAAGGTAGTGTGAACTCTATCCCGGGTGTTGGCCTGGGGGCGCTCATTGCTCCCAGCAGATGGCCGCTTCTGGGTGACCTGGGCGCCTCTCGACCCAACCTTTGCCCCCGTGGCCCAGGGGGGGCAACGGTCGTTAGCCTGCTCTACCGCGCAGGTGCGTTGACCCCTCTCCCAGCTCGCGGCCGTCTGACTGCCAGGGGCTGCTAGGGAACTGGCGGTCGGCCAAATGTTCTTGTAACATTCCTAAGGGAGCACCAGAACAACAACAACAGCGGCCCCACTGGTGCCGGGGGTTATGTCTTCGGCGACGAGCTCCTGTGCCAGCTGTTGTCTGGGGCGGTGGCTGTCCAGAGCCTGACCTAAATGCAGATGACAGCGCCTGGGCTCTAGAGAGTCCTCCGTCCGAGGAGCTCCTCCGCGGAGCGCTGGGCCGGTGCTCCGTCTCACGGCTGACGGCCGTCTGATCGCTTGGAAGCGGGGGGCTGCCAGGGATGCGGCTGACGGCCGTCTGATTGTGTTCGTTCCCAAATCCGACAGCCCCGTCGGGGGCGACAGCAGCGGAGGAGGAGCGAGGGGGAGACGAGGGAGGAGGAGGACAGCTGGTGGCCATAGGGGCGAGGGTTCCCCCCATTGCGACTGATGGCCGTCGCGCTTCCTGGAAGGACAGCGTAGTCCGAGTTCTGTCTCGGGGGGCCGCCTCTGCCCCGGCTGATGGCCGACTGCGTTCTTCTGGAGAGGTGGTCGCCGAGATGGCCGTCGGCCTCGTCGGATCCGCTCGGGAAGGGAGTGCCAAGGTTACAGCTGACGGATAGGCCTCGCCAACTCCGCACATAGAGGGGCTGCCAGGGTGACGGCTGAAGGCCGTCTGAGCTATTGTGGGTCTCTGTTCGCCTGGGATACGGCTGATGGCCGCCTGAGATCTTGAAGATCTCTCTTCGCCAGGGTTACGGCTGATGGCCGACGAGTCGCAGTAACTGCAAGAAGGCTGCGCTACTCCGGAACACAGCGTACGCATCCCCGAGGCCGACGCCAAACACGGTCAGCTGTGGCAAGTACTGTAGACCAGGGCCCAGGGAATGCGGACGCAATGCGCGTGTTCATTTCCCATTTACTTGGCACGGGCGCTCGGCCGCTAACCTTTACAGACGTCAAACCCCTCCAAAAAGCAAATCAACATGAAAAGCGAAACCCATGGAAAATGCAAAAGCTGCCTTTCGCAAACCCTCCCAAAATGTTAACATCGCTTGCGCAGCAAATTGCGATAATCTCGAAAGACGGCGGCCGCGTGCAAACATCAAGTTCGGACCCAGGTCCTGAAAACCAATGGTTTCCCGAAGCCCCCCTGCCTCCCCCCAAGGGCCCCGGTTCAACCCAGAGCGCTCGTGCATCCCGATTTCGGGGGGTGGCGGACGTGCTGGCGCTGGCCTTCAAGACAAATGTGGCAAACGAGCCACCCCTAGCACCCGGGCGGGCTGCTCCCTCCGAGCTGGCCCCGAGCGCCCAAGGGGACGTCCACCGAGAAGGGGAGTCAGGAGTCAGGAGTCATCAAGAAGGCGCGGGTCTGAGGTCCACGGAGGGCCTCGCGCGGCCCGAGCCCCTCGGCCGCCCGCACGGGCGGAGCGAAGCCACGACCGTCTCCCGCCCACAGGGGGACGTGGCGGGAGATCCCGTCGGGCGGACGCCCAGCGGCCGAGCCGCGCGCGAAGCGGGGCCGCGGCCGCGGGCCGTGGCGGGCGGGTCGAGCGCGAGGGTCCGCCCCGCGTCGCCGCTGCCGCCGCCGCCGCCTCCGCCGCCGCCTCCGCCGCCGCCGTCGCCGCCGCCGCCGAGCCCCGCCGCCGCCGCCGCCGTCGTCGTCGTCGTCGTCGTCGGATCTTGACGTCGTGGTCGTCCTCTTCGTCGTCGTAATTGTTATCGTCGCCGTCGCCGCCGCTTTCGTCGTCGCCGTCGTCGCGTCGTCGCCGTTGCCGCCGTCGCCAAAGACGACGCCGACGGCGATGGCGGCGGCGGCGGCCGCCACCGCGCGAACCGTCCAGCCCTGGGCGGCCCCTGCTGCGGGGGGCCCCCAAGGGTCGTCGGCCCCGCCTCTCGAGTGGACCTCGCGCCGCGGGCCGCCTTCTACAGGCCCCGGGCACAACGTCGGCGTCAAAGAGCACTCTCAATGGCGTTGCTCTCGGTGTTTCGGACCGGAGAATTACGATGGCACCATTTTCAAGAAACCTCCAAAGGCCAAGGTAGACATAACAGGCTGATTGGTAAATGATCCACACACGCTGCAGTTTCATAGTAAGCTCCGCCTCTGGTATTGCATAGGATGTGGCTGCTATGCTAACCAACAGCTCCGTGAACCAGGCAAGGTGTGCACGCTTACGATCACACAACATAGATCTGGGCACGTGGACAGGATCTCGAGAGGTGCACGGCCAAATGATTTAAATGCTACAGAGAAGCACGCACGAGGCATCTTACTGTAACTCATGCTATACATTTGGCAGGCGAAGCTTGCGCGATACCGAATATTGTCGCTCTAACCGCTTGCCTGTGGCCAGCGACTTTAGAGCGATACCGAATGTTGTCCCTCTAACTGCTTGCTGCCGCTGATTAATTGATTTAGTGTAACTCACGCTTCGCACCAAGTCTTGACATACTCATGCAGTCACGCTCATGCTCATGCTCCCCTCCCCCCGTCCGCCCTCCCTCCGCCCTCCCTCTCGCCCCCTCCCCCCTCCGCCCTCCCTCCGCCTCCCCTCCCTCCGCCCCCCCTCCCTGGCCGGCTCCGGGGGCGTATTATTCTTTCCCCGATCGCATCTCGGAGCCCATCCGCCAGCGTACTGGCCAACGCAATGTCAGCTCATTGCTACCTGGAACTGGGGTTCAATGTCAGAACATTGCTCTCTGAAGTGCGGGCACGGGCGCCCGCCAAAAAGTCAAGCCGAACGCGGGCCCCCTCGCCTCACGGCTACCCTTGCAGGCAGAGCCCCCCCGCCTGTTCGAAGTTTCCCCGCGCCACAGCTCATGGGTTGTGTTTCTTGTCAGCCCCCTTTTTAGGTTTTGCAGCCGCCGGGGGGGCCGCGGCCGCGGGGGCGGCCGCGACCGAGGGCGCAGCCGCGGACGCTGCCTCGCCGGCGGCGCCCTTCTTGGCCTTCTTGCTCGCCGACTCGAGCCGCTCCTGCAAGGATGGGCTGATGGCGTGCCACTTGCGCTTCTTCAAGCCGCCCAGGATCCTCTGAACCAGGTCGTGGCGGACTTCCCCGGGGCCTAGCGGCCGCACCGTGCTCTGCGCAAGCGTGAAGTCCGCCAGAACAGATCCCGCCGCCTTCAGCTGCGGGGACTCCTCCTTGAAAGCGTCCGCGACTTCCTCCTGCGTGCGCTGCAGAAGGATGCCGTCGAACATCTTGTATGTGTTGAGCCAGCCAGCAACGTAGGAGAAGTCGGCTTCCTTCTCGAGCACCCGCACCTGCTTCATAGCCTCGTGGAGGTTGGTGACGCACTCGTGCTCGAGGGCCTTCTTCACCTCGGATACGTCAATCTCTGCGGCCCCCAAACGCTTCACCAAGGCCTGGCAGTCTGGGTCCTCCAGCGCCTTACTCACGCGGTCCACCGCCTCCCTGCAAGACTCCGCCTGCTTAGCCAGCCAGGTCTCCAGCGCCCCGCGGCACGCCGTCTCGACGTGTCCCTGCACCTTGCCGACGTGCGCCGCCAAACCGCCGAACTGCGGGACGACGTCGGCGCGCAGGACCTCTGAGGCTGCGTGAATGGCCGCCAAGGCGTTCCGAAGGGGAGCTAGCTGGGAGAAGCCCGCCGTCAGGAGGCCCTGGTGGAAGGTCCGCGCCGCGCGGCATGCCTTGTAAAGCTGGGGGCTGGCGCAGCAAACGGGGAATGCCACTGCCCCGTCGCCCACCGTAATGTCTGCGGACATGCCGGCGAAGGAGGCGCACTGGACTGCAAAGGCTGCCACCTTGCCGAGCTGGTCCGAATCCTGCGCGTCCTCGTCGCTGGCCGCCTTCACCAAAGCTTTCGGCACCGCCGCGTCGACGAGCGACGTGGTGATCGAGGCGACGTCTACGTCCTCCACACTCTTCGACATCGCCGTAACGAAGCCAGAAATCGTCGAGAGGCCGCTGGTGAGACGGGCGCGCACCCCCTCGACAACTTTAGCCACCACTGCTTGCTGGAAGGCATTGAACTCCGTCGCCCCAGCAAGCCACTCGGCAAGGAGCGTCAAGGCGGCGAGGAACTTCTTCCCTTTGCCGTCCAAGATGTCAACGTTGTTCTGGGAGAGGTTCTGCAGCCAGGGGACGCCCGCCTTCAAGTCAGCTGCGGCCGCATCGAACTTAGCCACGTCCTCCTCGTACGCCTTGGCGGCCTCGGTGCCGCCAATGCCTGCCAGGAAAGCCATGTCCTTCGCTGGGACGCACGTCAGGCCGCCGATGGCCTCCTCCACTCGGGTCACGTCTCCCTCCTCGCCAAAAGCATTGTTGAAGATCGGGGTGGCGACTTTCGCCGCCGCCGCGGCCCGGCTATCCCTGACGGCCTTGGACGCTTCCCTTGCCGAAACGACGAACCTGCCGAGCAACTGTTCGACCCGGGCAAGGTCGCCCTTCGAGACCTTGGTGAAAACCGAGGAGCAAGTAGACGTGATGCCCGTGAACTTCTTGTATGCGTCCGCGATGTCCGAATGATGCGGCAGCTTCACGCCCGATGGGGTTGACTGGCCATTCACCTTCGTCACCACCGTGAAACTGGCGACGTTGGCGGCCGCCGTTGCCAAAGCATCGACCTCGGGCCACACAGCAGTGGCCAGGCGGACGAAAAATCAAGCTTGGGGGGGGGCGTTTCCCTGCGAAGCCCGCGTCGGGGCATGACGGCCGCCAAAACGGCCCCTGGCGATTTCCGACCCCAGGGGTTCTCGAATATCAATAAATGGGGACCTTCGCAACCAACTCTTGCAAGATCACGCTGTTCGCCTTGTCGGCGTGCCTGCGCTCGAAAACCTTCTCCGCCTCGACTCGCGCGGCCATGCCAGTACTGTACAAGGTGACCGCCTTGTAGAAGGCACCCTGTTTGTTCGCAACTAGCCCGTCCCGCGCCACCTCAGCCCGCGTCAACAACTCGCCGTCCTCGAGGGCGGGGGCGCGCAGCAGCAGGGTGAACTTCTCGAGGTCGTCCTTGAAGGCAGCGTCCAGGATGAAAGGGTTCTCCCCGACCTCCGTAGCCACAGGCACTTTGGAGAGCAGGGCCCCCATGCCAGCCATGGCGTCCGCCACCTTCGTGCATTCCGTCGGTTTCGTCTTGTCCGGCTCCACCTTGGCGAAGCCCAAGACATACTCCAGCAAGATTCTCTTCTGCAGGGCCGCCCGGTCGTCGAGCGCGACGATCGGAAGGCCGTGGTCGTTCGAGGACGTTGGATTAAGAATGTCCACGAGGCGGTCCCAGTCTTTCTCCTGGCCCGCCGCCTTGGCCGCGCGCGTCACCACCACTTCCAGGATGTAGTCCGTCACGTCCACCTTTGCTTCTTTCACCTTCGTGTACTCTGACATCAGCATCTCTGCCGAGACAAGCTCGCCCTGCGTGGCCTGCAAGCTGGTGACCAAGCCCGTCACGACACGCAAGAAACGTTGGTTCTCGCGCAACTGGGTGAACACCTGCATGCCCTGGGATTCTGCGTCGGGCTCCCCTGGCAAGACGGCGCCCGTGTCGGAGTAGTTCGACGAGTACATGTTGATCAAGTCCGAGGTGAGCCGCTTCTCCACGGCAGCGACCAAAGTCTCCACAGTCTTGGCGGTCAGCGTGAGCACCAGGCGGGGGTCGGTGAAACTCTGGCGGAACTGCTTGCACTTCAACGAGGCCTGCTCGGACTCGTTGAAAGCTTTCTGCACAACCGTCTTTGACCATTGCTTCACGGGGGTTAGCTCGGGTAAGGCCTTTGGCTTTGGCTTTGCCTTAGCCTTTGCCTTGGGTCTGGCCCTCGGGCTCGTCGGCGCCGTCTCCCCCTCGTCCGCGGGGGGGCCACCGGTGCCCGCATCCCCGTCGCAATCCGCTTCGTCGCTGCGGGAGCCCCCACTGCCATTCGCCCCATGCTTCCTGCTGAACACGGAATCCAGAAAAAGGTCGTCCGCATCCACGTCGCCCGCAGCAGCGTGGCCACGCCCACTGGTCACTTTCAGGGCCCCGTCCTTCTCGGTTGAGGAGACCCTCACCCGTTTCAAAGCTTGCTCTTGAGCTTTGTCGACGTCTGCAATGTCGCCGTACGCCGTGGACGCGAGCTCGCCGTTGCGGTCGACGGCGTCCTGGCTGACAGTCCACACCTCGATGGCACGAGTGGGGTCTGGGCCGGCCTCTTTCATCCAGACGCCGGTGACCTTTTTGCCTGGGGGTGCACCAATCCATCCTCCTCCTCGTCCTCCTCCTCCTCCTCCAACGGTGTCCCAACGGTGTCTCAGCGGTGGCCCAACGGTGTCCCAAAAGTGTCTTAGCGGTGGTCCAACGGTGTCCCAGCTGTGTCTTAGCGGTGTTCTGGCGGCGCCTTCACGGGGTCCTGTCTCCGTGGTGTCCCGATGGCGTCTCAGCGCGCGGCTGGTTTGGGAAGAAATTGTATATTGCAAATTGAGTTCGTCTCCTGGCGACCTTGATGTTTCGTACTCCCGAGTTGCTTCCGGTCGGGCTTGGCCCCACCATTGTTCTCAGACCAGTACGCGGTGGGCCACAAGTAGCCCACGAACTTCCGGCTCTCGGTCATCGCCGTCGAGCGTGCTTGGACGGTCTGGCGGCCACTGGGGGTTGCCCGCACCCTGCCCCCGTTCGTGTTCCTGTCCGACTCGTACTTCGCGAGCTTACCGTCGAGGGCCTTCTGGTTTTCCTCGGAATAAGACTCATGGCCTGGCGTCACAGAATCCAGGAGAACCTGCCTGTTCATGTTCTTGTAGTCTGGGTCTGCAGCTATCATGTTCGGGCAAATGCTGCACTCCCGCCCTCCCTGGCGGCGCCAGCATAAGAACGGATTCCTCTCCTTCAGATGGTTCAGCGGCTGGGGCGTGTTCTGGTCCCGCTTGCACCATTTGCATGAGCAAACGAACTCTCCAGCACCCGCCGCGCCATCTCCGAAGACGGACTCCAGCGGCATCGTTGGCGGCTCGCTGGGACCCCGACGCTGCGCTTGCCAGCCGGCGCCGCGGGAACGTCCAGAACTGGCCGCAGACAGGCCCTGCGCAACGTGGCTGCGAAAAAATGGTGGGGGTGAATGCTTGCGGACGGCCATAAGCAGGCCGGCGGTGGAGAGGAAGGGGGGCGGCGGGCAGAAGGGAGGGGGGAGGAGGGGAGGGGAGGGAAGGAGGGGAGGCAGGCAGGAAAGGAGGGGAGGGGGGGAGGGAGGGAGGGAGGGAGGAGGGGAGGGAGGGGAGGGAAGGGAGGGAGGGAGTTTCAGGGGAAGGGGGGGGGGGGAAGGAGGGGGGGCAAGGGGAGGGAGGGAGGGGAGGGGCTGAGTGGTTATGTTTCCCGTCGTCCTCAGCGCCGCGGGGACGCCTTGGCCGCTGCCGCCTTGGCCGCCGCCGCCTTGGCCTCCGCGGGCCAGCGGTGGCGGCCAGCGCCGTCCCTTCTGGGAAGGGGGGCCTCATTAATGCTGGACCACGCCTCCCAGCATCGCTGCTCCGCGTGGAGCTCGTTCCTCGCCACCTCGGCGGCGAGCTTCGCGGCCTCCGCCGTGGCCGCCGCGGCCGCCTGTGCCTGGCGCGCGACGGCGGCCGCGGCCGCCGCGGCCGCCTCTGCCTCGCGCGCGGCGGCCGCCGCCTGCCGCTCAGCCTCCAGGGCGGCCCCGGCGGCTGCCAAGGCCGAGCGCGCGGTCTCCAGCTCGGCGGCCAGCCGGCGGTTCTCATCCGCCAGCTCGGCCGCCCGAGCGCGCGCGGCGTCGCGCTCGGCGACCGCCTTCTTGCCGCCGCTCGGGCCAGAGCGGCTCGAGCGGCGGCGCTTGGCCGCGGGCGCCGCGGCCTCGCCGGGGGCGGCGGGGGCGGCGGCGGCGGCCGCCGCCGGCGCCGCGGCGGCGGGGGCGTCGGCGCGGCCACCATGGCCGCGGCCGCCGCCGCGCGAGGCTCCGCGAATGGGCCACATGGCTTTGGCTAGGATCCGGTTCCCAACAAACCCTTTGTAGGGGGATGTTCGTTTGCATGCTTCTACGACCCGCCGCCCGCCTTCCGCGCGCAATCAGAGAAAACATACGTAGAGGCCCCACGTTAACTTGGAAATCCCATCGGTCACCGCTATGGGAGCACTTCAGTTTCCAGGCCAACATGGCGACTTTTCTATTGTGGACAATACAGCGCGCGTCTGCGCGTTGTACGCTGCGGCAGCAAACGGGTACGTAGAGGCCCCATGTTAACTTGAACATCCCATCGGTCACCGCTAAGGGAGCACTTCAGTTTCCAGGCCCACATGGCGACTTTTCTATTGTGGACAATACAGCGCGCGCGCGTGCGCGTTGTACGCTGCGGCAATATACGGGTACGTAGAGGCCCCATGTTAACTTGGAAATCCCATCGGTCACCGCTAAAGGAGCACTTCAGTTTCCAGGCCAACATGGCGACTTTTCTATTGTGGACAATACAGCGCGCGGCGCGCGCGCGCGCGCGTCTGCGCGTTGTACCCTGCGGCAGTAAACGGGTACGTAGAGGCCCCATGTTAACTTGGAAATCCCATCGGTCACCGCTAAGGGAGCACTTCAGTTTCCAGGCCAACATGGCGACTTTTCTATTGTGGACAATACAGCGCGCGGACGCCGCGCGCGCGCGCGCGTCTGCGCGTTGTACGCTGCGGCAGTAAACGGGTACGTAAGGCCCCATGTTAACTTGGAAATCCCATCGGTCACCGCTAAGGGAGCACTTCAGTTTCCAAGCCCACATGGCGACTTTTCTATTGTGGACAATACAGCGCGCGTCTGCGCGTTGTACGCTGCGGCAGTAAACGGGTACGTAGAGGCCCCATGTTAGCTTGGAAATCCCATCGGTCGCCGCTAAAGGAGCACTTCAGTTTCCAGGCCAACATGGCGACTTTTCTATTGTGGACAATACAGCGCGCGGACGCGCGCGCGCGCGCGCGCGCGCGCGCGCGCGCGCGCGCTGTCTGCGCGTTGTACGCTGCGGGAGTAAACGGTACGTAGAGGCCCCATGTTAACTTGGAAATCCCATCGGTTAAGGGAGCACTTCGGTTTCCAGGCCAACATGGCGACTTTTCTATTGTGGACAATACAGCGCGCGCGCGCGCTGCGCGCGCGCGCGCGTCTGCGCGTTGTACGCTGCGGGAGTAAACGGGTACGTAGAAGCCCCATGTTAACTTGGAAATCCCATCGGTCACCGCTAAGGGAGCACTTCAGTTTCCAGGCCAACATGGCGACTTTTCTATTCTGGACAATACAGCGCGCGTCTGCGCGTTGTACGCTGCGGCAGTAAACGGGCACGTAGATGCCCCATGTTAACTTGGAAATCCCATCGGTCACCGCTAAGGGAGCACTTCAGTTTCCAGGCCAACATGGCGACTTTTCTATTGTGGACAATACAGCGCGCGGACGCGCGCGCGCGCGCGCGCGTCTGCGCGTTGTACGCTGCGGCAGTAAACGGGTACGTAGAGGCCCCATGTTAACTTGGAAATCCCATCGGTCACCGCTTAGGGAGCACTTCAGTTTCCAGGCCAACATGGCGACTTTTCTATTGTGGACAATACAGCGCGCGGACGCGCGTGCGCGCGCGCGCGCGTCTGCGCGTTGTACGCTGCGGCAGTAAACGGGTACGTAGAGGCCCCATGTTAACTTGGAAATCCCATCGGTCACCGCTAAGGGAGCACTTCAGTTCCAGGCCCATGGCGACTTTTCTATTGTGGACAATACAACTATTGTGTGCGACGCGCGACACGCGCGCGCGCGCGCGCGCGCGCGCGCGCGCGGCTGCGCGTTGTACGCAGCGGCAGTAAACGGGCACGTAGAGGCCCCATGTTAACTTGGAAATCCCATCGGTCACCGCTACGGGAGCACTTCAGTTTCCAGGCCAACATGGCGACTTTTCTATTGTGGACAATACAGCGCGCGCGTCTGCGCGCTGTACGCTGCGGCAGTAAACGGGTACGTAGAGGCCACATGTTAGCTTGGAAATCCCATCGGTCGCCGCTAAGGGAGCACTTCAGTTTCCAGGCCAACATGGCGACTTTTCTATTGTGGACAATACAGCGCGCGCGCGCGTCTGCGCGTTGTACGCTGCGGCAGTAAACGGGTACGTAAAGGCCCCATGTTAACTTGGAACTCCCGTCGGTCACCGCTGAGGGGGCACTTCAGTTTCCAGGCCAACATGGCACCTTTTTCTATTGTGGACAATACAGCGCGCGCGCGCGTCTGCGCGTTGTACGCTGCGGCAGTAAACGGGTACGTAGAAGCCCCATGTGAACTTGGAAATCCCATCGGTCACCGCTAAGGGAGCACGTCGATTCCAGGCCAACATGGCGACTTTTCTATTGTGGACACTACAGCGTGCGGACGCGCGCGCGCGCGCGCGCGCGCGTCTGCGCGTTGTACGCTGCGGCAGTAAACAGGCACGTAGATGCCCCATGTTAACTTGGAAATCCCATCGGTCGCCGCTAAGGGAGCACTTCAGTTTCCAGGCAAACATGGCGACTTTTCTATTGTGGACAATACAGCGCGCGGACGCGCGCGCGCGCGCGTCTGCGCGTTGTACGCGGCGGCAGTAAACGGGTACGTAGAAGCCCCTTGTGTCCTTGGAAATCCCATCGGTCACCGCTTAGGGAGCACTTCAGTTTCCAGGCCAACATGGCGACTTTTCTATTCTGGACAATACAGCGCGCGGACGCGCGCGCGCGCGCGCGCGTCTGCGCGTTGTACGCTGCGGCAGTAAACGGGTACGTAGAGGCCCCATGTTAACTTGGAAATCCCATCGGTCACCGCTTAGGGAGCACTTCAGTTTCCAGGCCAACATGGCGACTTTTCTATTCTGGACAATACAGCGCGCGCGCGCGTCTGCGATCGTTTAATAAAATATTCAATTATGTCAGGAGAGCGCGAGCGCGCGCGCGTCGGCGGTCGGCGCTGCGTGGGGAGTTCGTTACTGTCCACAAGAGGGAAGCCGCTAAATGTGCCTGGAAACCCAAATGAACCCTCAGCGGCGACCGATTGGATTTCCAAGTCAACATGGGTCCTGTTGTACGTTTTCTCTGACGGCGCGCGGAAGGCAAGCGGTTGGCGGCAGGGACTCTTAGGGTGATTCCCAAGGGGACCCCTGCGGGGATTCCTACGGAGATCCCTACGGGGCGTCCTATGGGGATTCCAACGGGGATACCTGCGGCGACTCTAATGGGGATTCCTACGGGGGCGCCGGGCCGCTCCGCGAAGGGCGGGGCGGCCCGTCCAAAGGTCCACTCCGCCGTCTGAAGAAACCCGCGGCGAAAGGCGGGCACATCTCAAGAACCGCCGGCAACTGCCGGGCAACTGCCGGGCAACTGCCGGGCAACTGCCGGGCAACTGTCGGCGACCAACTGCCAGGCACCTGCCGGGCAACTGCCGGCCATGCTTTCGCGCCGTGCCATAAAGAAAAACCCTGCGCGCAGCCGCTATCCTCAAGTAGAAACTTAAGACTTTTCCGCCCCGACACGCGCCAGTCCCGCCCGACCACGAACTGCCGGCAACTGCCGGGCAACTGCCGGGCAACTGCCGGGCAACTGCCGGCAACTGCCGGGCAACTGCCGGCTGCTGCCGCCGGCGCGGTTTCGGACCGTGCAGGGCGCAGACTTGGAGCGGCCAGCGCCCGCGGGCGTGGAGCGGGAGCGGCTCCCTCGTGCGGGGGCGGGGGATGGGGCTTCGAGCCCGCCCTTGCTCGGTCAGCGCGTTTTTTTTGCACTCCGGCGGCCATCGCAAGGGCGAGTGCGCCCGCCCGAACCCTGCTCTGAACTTCCACGCGGCCGCGCAGCAGCCAAGCCGCAATTTCCAGACAGGCGTCGGTTGCCGCGCGCCTCGTTGGGAGACGCACGGCAGCCGCGCGTGCGCCCAATCGGGCGGGGCACTCCGCGTTGGACGCGGTGCGAAGAAACTCCGCGCGGTTCGGGCTGATGCGGGATGCGGGATGGCGGTGGCTCAGA